TAAGAAAACAAAAAAATCAGTGATGCATTTATGCAGTGTTTTGGAAAAACAGAATGCAAGTAATTAGAGACAGCATCATACGAGGCCCCATCTGCAATCTTGTTTAGCTGCTAGAATTAGGCTAGAAATTTCTGAATTTAGTTTGGAAAATATTAACGTTTTACCTGTTGATCTACATTCCCGCTCTCACCTATGGCCAAAAGTTCTGAGTAGTAACCGAAAGAATGAGATCACCGATGCAAGTGGTGACAATGAGGTTCCTCTGAGGAGACGGAGTAGAACTTCTACTCCTCCACATCTAAAGGAACCAGCTCAGGTAGTTCGGCCATTTGACTCATGTGCCTCGTAGGGTGAGATGTTTCAGGCATTTCCTACCAGGAGGACGCCTAAAAGCAGGACCCAGGATGAGCTGGAGAGATTACAATTTGATGTCTATCTTGGGAACAAATTGGTGTTCCCACAGATGAGCTACAGGAGGAAAGGAAAAGGGAGGGTCTGGGGATTTAGACTGCTGTCCCTGGGACCCAGACCCAGATAAATGGAAATAAATGGACAGCAGTGCAGTATGCTATAAACTAGCCAGTGATTTACCACAGCCAGGGTGCTTGCCTGTACCTTCTGGCTGTAGCTCAGGAGGTAGGACAGGGCTCTACTAATTGGAAGGTTGGTGGTTCAATCCCTGGCTGCTCTAGTTTGCTTGGCATATATCATTGTGCAAGATCCAAACACCTAGTTTCTCTCTGATGAGTGTGAATGTTAGCTACAAAGTGCTTAAGTATATTAAAGTAAAAAGCACTTGTATAAATGGGTGAGTAAGGCATGTTGTATAAAGTGCTTAGAGTTGAGGTAGAGTAGAAAAATGCTATATAGGAAACAGTTCATTTACTTGGCAAAGATTAGTTTAATACATTTTAATTATTAATTAAGTAATCTGGAACATAGCGTGTGATGTCAGTAAAAGGATAGTTAAGCTCTTCTGCAAAAAAAAAGGTTAGGAATTACAAATACTCCACTGTTAAATACAATAAGTCTATATGAATGGTGGTACATAAATCAAACCATTGTCATTATGTAAAAAAACAGTACTGTTGTTTTATTAAAACCATTGCAAATTTAAATAGCTTTGCTGTCTACTATCAATCAGTCTTTGCTGCAGCTATTTCTTTCCCCCAATTTCTTATTGGTTGGTGATGTTATTGTGCAAATATAGGGCTCCTGTCTCATCTGGTGCTCACACAGAGTTCTTTAACTCACTGGCTTTAGCAGGAATGATTCCTGTCAGGCTGTGTCTCAGGGCTTCCTGCAGTCCTGCTCCTTTCGTTCAAACCAGAAACTGATTCATAAGCCTCATCAGTAAACAAGGCCCGGTGACTCAGCGGGAGGAAAAACACATTCAGCCTGTCACATTTGAAAGTCAATGAGCTCCAGCATTCTTTGATACATTGCACCAGCTAGCCACCAATAACGAGAGATGTAGTGTACGTTCAGACAGTCTCGCCAGTGTTCCTTTGAATCTTTTTTGTAATGCTAAGTTTTTAATGAGTTGTTGACACTGATGATCCCAAACATCTGCTGGACCCTCACAGTTCATGATGGGATAAAACCAATTAGACAGCACCACCTCCGAGCTGGAGTTTGTTGGCTCTCAAGCATGTGTGAAACTCATCAGTTCAAGCTTTGCATGCCAGCCGACTTCCCAATGGATCATTTCTCTCTCTCCCTTTGTCTGCTCATTGGTCTGTACAGTCTTTTGTATTATCAAGGTTGTCTTTAAATAACAGAACTGTGGATAGATTAAAACTCTAACGCGCATCAATAGAGTTCCAATACTAATCCCGATTACCTGGAGGCCTCAATTTGAATTGTCAATTTTGCTTCAGGAAGAGTTCTGAGGGGCTGCTTTGTATTTGAAATGCTTGATTCACTTTTAATTGAGTGCATAAAACAGATACTTTTGAAACCAACAACTGTGATTTTTATGAACTTGCTACGAACAGCTTCTGCCCTCAGGGAGGATTCCTTTTATATAATAAACAACCTCTGTACCCTTACGGAAGGCATCAGAAACAGCAGGGTAATGTTTATTATCATTTTAATGTATCTTTGGAATCTAAGCTTTTTAATTCAGGCTCATTTCATAGTAAAAAATATATGAGATCAAACATTAGACTTTGAACATTCAGTTCTGCAAATGTGATTTACTCAGCGGGAAAGTTACCCTAATGCAACTTTTTAATACAGTGTACCTTTTTTTCCCTACTGTATGTGGCTTTTTAAAATACTAATACAAGTAAACACTTTTTTGAAACTATTTCCATAAAAATACAGAAAACTCAATAAATGGACTAATTATTACATTCTGTGTATGGAAAAGGACCTCTTCTGCTTCTTTGTGTTATCTGTACACAACATATACATTAGAGTGCAAAAGTCTTGAGCTGCACCTCATTTGTTTATATTTTGCATTAACAGGGCCACACGTTTTTGTCATTTTTAAAGTGATCTTAAGCACAGATTTCTGGAGGTCTTTTGCTTTGCGCTGCCCTCTGACTCATGCAAGTATTAAAACAGGCACCAAACTCAAGGAATGAGCAAGTTTTTAGTCTACATATAACAGATAATTTAGCAAGGAACCAGTTTAGACACTTTGTTACTTGCAGCCTGTTGTAAAAAAAAAAAAAAAAACATGAGCTGGTTCCATTGGCTTCGTTTAATCTATGAAAAATGGCAATGATACCACAGTTTGAAGGGCATAAAATAATATTTGTGCCCCAGCAAGATGATTTGCAAAGGCTTAGTGGCAGAAGATTTCTCATATTGTCATAGCGAAGACATATCAGACCTAAAACACCATCTTTAGCAGATGAACAGTATCTGAAAGCTGTGCCCTTAAGAAAAAGAAAGAAAAATCTGTGAAGACCTGAGAGATGGAGCTTGTCCTTCAGTTGATCTGTCAGCTGTTCACCGAAGCCTCATTAGAAGTGGTCTCAATGGAAGGTTGGTTGTTACGAAGCCATTATTAAGAAAGGGAACTGGAGAGAAAAGGCTGAGGTATGCCAAATTTCACAAAAACTGGACTGAAAGTCAGTGGCAACAGGTCTTATGTTCTAAATTGATTTTTTTTTTTTTGTTAAATCAATGTATCCATGTAGCATCATCTTCAAAGCATCTGATTGGCATGGCAATGATCCAAAACACTAGCCAATACAGTTAATGAATTCCTGGTTAAAAAACAAAACAATGGGACAGTAAGCAGTCGATGGGACACTATGTGGTCCCCAAAAATGATTGAAACAGTTTAGGATCATCTGCACAGAGAACAGAGCAAAAGGCAGCCAACATCCAATGAAGAGCTTTGAATGTCCCTCTAGAAGCCCAGAGAACTATTCCTAAAGACTATTGAAAGAAATGACAAAGTTTCCCTAAGAGACTTGAGGCTGTGTTGAAGAATAAAGGCAGTCATAGCAAATCTTAACTCTCAAAGTGGTTCGACTTGCACAAACTCTGCTTGTGCCTTCAAGCTTTCTTCCATTCTTCAAAATATAAAAAAACAAATGTTGGCTCGAGACTTTTGCACAGTTCTGTATGTTGGTGTATTATCGTCAGTAGCTTTGACAAGAATTAAAAAAAAACTGGTCAGTCTATTTTTCAGTATTCAGTTTCCTGTCATGTATCTAGTACACAACTCTGTCCCAGTTACCAGTTGCAACGGTGTGCTATTATTTAGAGCAAATTAAAAGTAAACTAATAAAGAGTAAGAAAGTGTACTTGTTTTGCACAGGTTTCAGTTGCAGTAGGATCTCTATGTAGGAACATATCAAGCGCAGAAGTTTGCCAAAGATAAACACAAGCTTACTTTTTAAAAATAGTTTATGAAAATTCATTTCAGTAAATATAATTATAGCAGCATACATGTTCTATCAATTAAAGGTAAAAAAAAAGCACTATACAGTCCGTGCAACTGTTAAGCCGACCCTTCTTCTGTCTCCTTCACCTTTGTCTGCTTAACTTTCCTCTCCTTCCTCCTCTGTCCATAAACATTTCTTTCCAATCATTCTTATAACCCAATACTTCATTAAAGTGTAGACCAGCCTCCCTCCTTATCAACAGCCACAAATTACTTGTTTTTTCAGCACCTTTTAATAACCCCAACAGGTTTTTCAGCCCATTGCTAGGCAATCAGAGCGGCATGGGAGGTCTCTAACCAAGCAGCAATCCCAGTGGCTTCATATCAGTGCAGCCCTGCCACTCCAACAGGGAAAATGTCACTTTGATATCTCCCCCTGGTCATTGTCAGTGTGGGGAGTCTAACCCAGCTAATGAAGTAAAAGGGAAAAAGCTGTGGGAGGAAAAATGGTCTGTGGTCAAAATCTGTGTTCTCAACGGCCCTGCTTGATGCCTTTCATTTGTTTTATATGTGTGTGTTGTTAATCCCCTCCTTCTGTTTTTGTGCCGTGTCATTTATCGTTTGAATTTCTGCATCAATCTTTTGCTTTTTTTTGTTTTGGGCTAGTATCATCAGCAACTTTGTGCTCTTCTCCTCTGAGAAATTAAGAATGCACAGGCATATTTATTTGTCAAAACTCCTCACTGCATAACAATGACAGCATAAGTACAACCCCAGCACTTGTTACTCATTAGACATTTAATCACTTCTAACAAACATGTGCTTGCTATCTTTCATGTCATGGTGTAATGCCTGTGAATAGACATAAAAGAGAAGAGTTCCCAACAAGATCTTTGATCATCTCATTCGGGTGGGACGAGATGATCTGTTGAAGTATCATCATTGTGTCAACATATTTAATGCACTGCGATCCAGCTAATTTATCAGAGAGTCTGCCGCAGACCTTTAAATCACCCACACACGGTGGCACACAAAGAGCTGCTGGCCCGAGATAGTATCAGTAGTGTTCACAGTGACTTTATTTTATCTTCATGGCTTTTATACTTATTTGTTTCCCCGCTTTTGTTTGTCATGTATTTGTCCCCTCATCCAGATGCTCCCACCACTACCCCTAAATCCACCACAGCCACCACCACCACCACCATCATCACCACCACCATCTCCTACCCCGAAATAAATCAAGGTACAGTATCACCTTCACGCAACCTGTTTATCTCTGTGTGCTTATGATTGTGTGAGTGTCTGTGTGTGCGCTCATGTGCATGCATGCTGCCTTGCTCCCAGTGTGCTGGATCCTTCCCTGTGTATTCCCATTTTTATTCCACAGTGGCAGCTTTATTTAGTCATGATGTTTTTGTCTTTTACCAAGTTATACACTGAAGCCATCATTTAACAGCTAAAACTAATGAGTCTGGGGCTGCAACAGGTATGCACAATCCTCAAAGAAAATGCAGTATTAGGATGTTAATCTTGCGTGTTTTCTTGGCTGTCAGCTCGTCTTATATGATAAGGAGTTGAGCAATCAAACTAGGCACATAGGTTCCTATCTATGTCAGACTTTATGATGAGATCATGTTGCCTAGCAACCAACTAGCAGTGAGCTAAAATTAACCAATTTTGCCAAACCAATCAGGAGTTAAATAAGCCAAACATGGCACACAGGCACATCCTAAGCCCCCAAAGGTTCTTATCTATGTTAGATTTTATGATGAGATCATGTTGCCTAGCAACCAACTAGCAGTGAGCTAAAATTAACCAATTTTGCCAAACCAATCAGGAGTTAAATAAGCCAAACATGGCACGCAGGCACATCCTAAGCCCCCAAAGGTTCTTATCTATGTCAAACTTTATGGCGACATCGTGTTGCCTAGCAACCAACTAGCAGGGAGCTAAAATTAACCAATTTTGCCAAACCAATCAGGAGTTAAATAAGCCAAACTTGGCATACAGGGACATCTTGGGAATGTTCTTATTTACATGAGATATTATGACATCTTCATGTTGAATGGCAACCCATCATAACTCGGCTGTGAAAGCTGTTTGTTGTCGACCCAAATGCAAAGCATGGGAAGCAAAATGAGCATTTAATGCTAATCCATAATACAGGAACTTACTAAAGGATAACCTGAATGTAACCAAACTAAGAACAGAAGACTCAAAGAACAGAGCTAGTAATTAAACCACAAAAAATTATAACCCTATACACACCCTACACCTATACAGAAGCCCAGCCCAAGGAAAACCTAAAATAATGAACATCAAATAATAAGTAAAATGCAAACAGACCACTGGAAAGGAAATAATAAATAACACCATATACACTATATAAATCATAGTGCTAAATTTCAGAGGGAACAAAAGTTGAACATAAATCACAAAACCACTAACAATGAAGAACTAATCGAAAAATTGAAAACAAGGCTCCAAATCCCAGGGACCACGACACAACCGTGTAGCAATGTGCTAACATGACCCATTTTTCCCGAGATGATCAGGAGTTGAGCAACCACACTTGGCACATAGATACATCTTAGGCCCCTGAAGGTTCCTTTTTGTACCAAATATTACTGTCATCATGTTGCCTAGCAACCACCTATCAATAGACTAAAGCGACCCATTTTAGCAGTTATGCTCCGATATCACCTTATAAAAGCATTTTATTATTTCAATTTTACAACAACACAAATTTATACTGGCAAAAGTTGAATTATGCGTAATATCTTAAGATGCCGTCATGTTAGCTGGCAACCAAGTACGTTTTTACTTTTTTCTATGTGTAGTTATACCAGAAACACAGAGACGCCAGTACTGTAGCATGGGCATGCACTAGTAATAGTAGTGAGCTCCAAAAAATATCTGCACCATGGCCAAAACAGATGCTACGCTAGCTCACCCAGAGCTTCTATTCACCGATGAAGAAAGTGAGTTGCAGGGGGCTCGTGAAAGAAATAAGCAGATGTTGTTTTAGAGCCACATTTTGAAAATACAGTATTAATATGCTGTCTTTCTGAGAGCTTTAGTCAGGATGAGACCACGGCAGACTACACTTCGTTGTAATACAAAAGCATCAAGTTGATATGTTGCAATCCGATTTATACAAAAGAAAGAATATTTCCCACAATTTTATTCCCATCTGCAAAAAAGCAAATACTTAAAAAAAAATAGAACATCACAATGTGGCTTCTGTTGCCTTGTAATTTTCTGGTGCCATTTAAAAAAAGTGCATCTGATTGTGCCATTTTAAATCTTTCTCTGGCATTAAATAATTTATTCTTAGCAATTGCAGCCTAGAAATGGTAGGGTTGCAATCTGAGGCATTAACATGGCAAATTACAACTCATATACACAAATAAATGCACAAAAGCTCTTTGAAGGGCTGATTAACATAGAAACATTAAATAAAAAAGTAACAGAATTTAGACAACTTCAGCTATATTTTTACTTTGTAAGTATGTGTGCAAGTGAGTGGGTGAAGATGAGTTTTGATGTTCAAAGGACAAATAGTAGGCCAAGGTTTAGTACCTCATGTTGTTTTGTTGTCAGTGGAAGTAACCAGGTGGTCGTCGCTGCTTGTTGTTCCCAAATCGTTCTCAGCAGGGATTCAAAAGAAAAGCCAGGTGCGCAAAAACATGTTGGAAAAGAGTTAATTTTTCAAATTAGACTGCTGCACCACTGTACTTTGCACCATCACAGTAACGTGACACTTCACTATGGCATCAGCTTAATTGGTAAGATGTCAAGAGTTGGTGCAAGCAAACATCTATATGAAGCTGTGAATAATGGTACATAAATAGTGGGATTACTATGACAATTCTGTGAATTTGATGGTTCTGTAGCATTTACTCACTACAGACACACGAGTCGCCTTTTATTTGAAACTCATCTCTCTTTCAGGAAGTCAATTATAGATCATACTCTAGGTGGGTTGTGGAAAAAGGCGAACACTAGAGGTGAACAATAACTTGAACATGAGCAGTTGAAAATTAGACCCTTTTGAAATAAGCAAATTTTATCTCACTCTTTCAACAGCAGAACTCGAGGCTATTGTGACTATAAATCTCCAAAGGGTGCAGATAGAAAACATCACTTTATGCCTCGTCTCAGAAATCAGCCTGAGCTCCAAATGCAATCAAAGCCTCTCTGACAGACCGCTCAATTGGAACAAATCTCACAAGGCTGGCAGAAATCACAGGCATTGTGCTTGATTATGCCATCTGATTGGATTAAAGAGAATACCTATCTATGCAGGCTGATTGATAGCTCCTTTGCCTCAGATCAAGGAGTGTGGAGTCTGCTCTGGCCTGTTCTGATTATAGCAGTCCTGACTGATTCAAAGTGAGATCTGTGCTGCTTTGCAAAATAATTATGCTCCTGCTGTGAATAATAGATTTACTTTAAAGGTAAATAATAAGAACCGTAAAAAAATATTTTGCAACCTCTGCTTGCACAAAATGAGCAAATTAGTCAGTGAATTAAAAAAAAAAGTAGTAACCCAGGCCCTTAATTGCATCTTTGCTCAGTTCGGATCAGTCATGCTAAAACGACAGCTGGATGTAGCCATGCTTTCTTGTTTCTTCAAAAAGAGCATCTTGAAGAACATCATTAACTCTGTGATGCTGACTTTAGAGCTCATGCCACTGACGGTAATTTGTAAAGACTGTGGCTGTATGTTAAGGGACATCTCGCGAATTTGCGACTGATTAGAAGTCTCCCAATGGCAAGGAGGAATCACAGTAGGGCTGAAGCTGTCTCCCAGCTGTGGGCAAGAGTCACGGTACACTCTGGATAGGTTTCTGTGCTTTTGCAGGGGTAAACCAGACCATTCACCCTCAGATTCACACCTATGGCCTATTTAAAGTCACCAGTTAACCTTGGGCAGTGTTGGTCAAGTTCCTCTACATTTCACCTTTAAAAACTATTTACTTTGCCTTATTTGGTATCATTGTTTTCAGCACAACCTCACGTGTCTGAATTTACAGTTATGTTTTTATTTTGACATACTGTATTAACACAATTGATCTAAAATCAGACAAAAAACATAAAATCCAATTAGAAAAAAGTTATTTTTTACTGTAACAACCACAAATATGTTCAATGAATCACATTTCATGACTTTAAATGCAAATATTAATTGACAATTTTAAAATTATATGCACAAGTTTTGCAAACAATAAAGTTATTTGCAGCCATTTACCTTTTACCCCTTTTTTAAATAACCATTTCAAACTATTTACAGAACAATCAGCTGTTCTGCATTCAATAAGATGTCACACAAATTATTTGTGCCACTCCAAATATTTCTGTCCACTATAAAGGAGAACATCACAGCCTGATACCTGCAGGTCTGACAGCAGCAGGTGTATCACTCCTGTTTCTACCTGGAGACAGCAGTCGCCTCATTGTTCTGACACACAACACAAAACTATCCACAACACTACACACTAACTACACAACACAACACATTAACTACACACTCCAAACACACTAAACATCACAAATCTCTCACATCTCAAAACTCGCTCTCTCTCTTTTTCTGCTGTCTCTCTCTGTGTCTCTCGCTGTCACTCCTAAAACTTCCCCCTCTTCCTAAACAACCAAATGTCATGTTGCCATATCATTTTTTGATTGGTTGACATGGTGCATTTTTCCACCAACACGAAAGGGCGGGGTTTTGTTTTGTTTTGTTTTTTGTTTTTTTTTGCTCATAAGCAGAGAGTGCTTGCTAGCGCTGTCCTTAGACAGTAAACATGACGAAACTATTGAGGAAAAACAGGCGTATATATTGTTTATCATGACTCTGGTTTTACGTGGCCTATCAACACAAAAAAACTGGTATATATCAACTTGTTGCTTTGTCATCTTAAAGTGGTCATGTGATTGGCTTACCACGACTACTTTATTCTTCCTCAGTCAAACAGCAGCACTCATGCGATTGTTTTGCCCCAGGTGTTGTGCCAAAAAGTGATCATCTACCAGAAAGTGATTGCCGTCCGCGGGAGCTCACGCAGCTGCTTAAAGCTGTAGCACCCAGATTACTTACAGCTACTTCCGTGCAACTGATGCGGTAAGCTGAAGACAGCTTCAACCGTCTGTTTGTTGAAAAATAGTAACGTGACCGCACGGCATTTTCTTGTTAGTAACAGTAACGGCGTTGTAACGATAGGAATAGTAATTAGTTAGATT